GATTCTCTCTTTGTGTTTAACTTTTGATGTTTTACTTATGATGTCTCTTGGTGTGGGCCTTTTTGGGTTCATCTTGTTTGAGATTCTCTGTGCTTCCTGGGTTTGTATGTCTATTTTCTTCACCAGGCTACAGAAGTTTTTAGTCATTATTTCTTGAAATAGATTTTAAATTTCTTGCTCTTTCTCTTTTCCTTCTAGTATCCCTATGATGCAAATGTTGTTACAGTTGACATTGTCCCAAAGGCCTCTAAAACTATCTTCATTTATTTAGATTTTTTTACATTTTGTTGCTGTTCTGATTGGGTGTTTTCTGCTACCTTATCTTCTATATCACTGATTTACATCTCTGCTTCATCTAATCTACTGTTGATTCATCTGAAGTTATTCTTCATTTCAGTTATTGTACTCTTCATTTATGACTGGTTCATTTTTATGTTTTCTATCTCCACTTTTATGTTTTCTATTTCTTTGTTAAAGTTCTTATTGAGTTCCTTTCTTCTTCCCCTAAGTTTATTTAGCATCCTTATCACCACTGTTTTGAAGTCTGCATCTGCTAGATTGCTTGTCTTGATTTTGTTGAGTTCTTTTCCTGGAACTTTGTTCTGTTCTTTCATTTAAGACATATCTCTTTGCCTCCTGTTTTTGGCTATCTCCATATGTTTGTTTCTATGTATTCAATAGGACTACTATGTCTCCTAGTTTTTGTAGAGTGGCCTTACAAAAGTATGTGTGCTGTGGGGCCCAGTGCTACAGTCTTCCCTGGTCACCAGAGTTGGGTGATCCAGGTATGTCCCTTGTATGAGCTGTGTGTGCACTGTTGTTTTAGAGGAGCCTTGGTTGCTGTATGCTCATCAATGGGAAGGATTGATCCCTGTGCTGATTGGTTGTGAGGACTGGCCATGACCAGTGGAAGTGCTGTTGTGCAGAGAAAGACCTTACAGAGCAGGATTTACTTTAGCAAGACTCTGGTGCCTGCCTTGTTTGCCCTTTGAGTATGTTGTCCTCAGATGTGACCCCATGTTGTGCACCAGTTTAGACCAAAGCTGGCCACTGGGCATGCAGGCCAGGGCCTCCTGGGGGGGGGGAAGTTCAGCTGAAGCCTGTGTTCTGCCCAGAGCCATGTGGCAGATGGCCATCATCCATACTGGGTTTGGAAGCACCTCAAGAGTCCAAGCCACAGCATGAGGATGGCTGCTGCTAGTGCTGGGCTTCAGGTTTCTCATCAAGAAGTACAAGGCATGCTGAGGCTATATGCTGCTTGCTTATATTTTGTGAACCTTTGAGAGATTTTTTAAAAGTCTGCAGCATGAGCTAAGACAGGTTGTTTGTATGGAAAATCCACTGGGAGTCGCTTGGATGGTTCTGCACATTAGGAGAAGCTAGGTCTCAGGGAATCACCAGGACAAGTAATGAATGTTAGCAACATTGATGGAGACTCAGATATGGTACTCACCTGGGTCTGCAAGCTAGGTGGGGATGGGCTCAACAAAGGAACATTTCCCCTTGCCAGCACTTATGTCGGGAAAAAAGATGCCCCTCCAGCCCTTGCCCTGAAGCCAGACAACTCAGTTCCTCCCCATATGTCATTGGCAACTTCCAAGCTGCTGCCCCAGCACTGGAGCTCAGAGTGAGTCCATCACTGAATAAGTTCACGCATAGGACTCTGAAGAGGAAAGTCTCTGACAACCTCAGCCCTCTATCTCACTCAGCCACAGTGTCTGCTTATTTCCACAGCCAGAAGTTGTGGGGACTTCTTTTCCTGGCAATGGAACCCTGGGCTGGGAAGCCTGATGTGGGGCTAGGGGACCTCACTCTTCCTGGGGGACTTCTACAGCACAGATAATTCTCCCTATTCTCAACTATCACATGAGGGTGTTGTACCAGCTGTTTTTTGTCTTTGCCCCTCCTACCATTCTCGAGGTGGCCTCTTCTGTGTGTCCCCAGTTGGAGGACTTTTGTTCAGCTACACTTCAAGTGACTCCCAATGATGGCTATTCTTTAGTTTAGTTGTAATTCTGATGTGGTTGTGAGAGGAGGCAAGAAGAACATTTACCTACTCTGCCATCTTGACTGAAATCCCAGAGAATAATTTTTGTGCATCTCCAATGTACCAGACACTATCTCTAGGTTTTGAGTATATACCCGTGAGCTAAACAGACAAAACTCCCTGACTTCAGTGAGCATATATTCTAGTTGAGAGAGATAATCAATAAATATAATTAATAGTTGCCGTGTCCTCTTTCTACCCTACGGCGTGACAAGGTCCGGAGATGGGGACAGAGGCTTCAAGGAATGCATCGTCAAGAACGAGGACGTGGCATGTGTTTAGGGATAACTGGTTTCTTAGAAATGATCCTATTAATAGGGGGAATTTGGGTAGCACAAATTCTAGTAAGTGTAAATGCTGTACAAATGGATTTCCTCAAAATTAGCTCTGAGGAAAACATAGTAAATTCCCTGCGTATGGAATCAGCTCTAGTCACCCTGACATATCCAGAATGCGTAAACCCTTTATTTGAACAATTATTAAGAGAAATTCCTTTTAACGCGCCTCTTAAAGATGTTATGAATAAATTATAACAAGCTGAATTACTAGAACCAGTTTATACTCCTGTTTCCACGCAGTTAGTAGAAAAATTAGTAAAGGATAAGAAATTTACTCATAAGCCTGTGCCTACTATGGAAGGGCCTCCTTTTGTGGCCTAGTGGATAAATAGAAAACTCTGGTATCCACCTAGGGGGGCTAATAGTATGAAAAGATTACCTGATCTTCCTTTGCCTTATACAGAAGCTTATAATAAAGATAGTATACATATAGTGAATAAAGATAGAATTCATGTGCCTTATAGTAGTTTAAGTTTCGTAGAAAGGCTGGCTAGGTCAGGATCTCCTTGGTGCTTAAAAAACAAAGGAACAGAAACTTAGCTTATGAAAGCAGCTTTGTAAAACTGATTTTTATAAATATTTTCCTCATTACTGCACCAAGGAAACTTTTGAACAGCTATGAGAAAGGTTCAGCTTGAACTTTAGATATAGCATAAATCAAATAGCATTTAAAAGATTTCTTCAGGCAGAAAGAAGAACAATGTCTGCCCATGAGAGAAAAATGTACTAGTTAATCATGATCATTAATAATAATATACTCTATAAGATTTACTGCTTCGCCTAACCACAGAAATTTAACTCCCTGCTACCATAACAACAAAGTATAATCAAATGCCAAAATAAAAGTATAAAAGTTGTACTCAAATCACAATAAAACGAAACAGTGTCACACCGTCTCTGAGTTGTGTAGTCAACTGTCTCCCGCGCCGACGCCTTGCCCACCTTCGGGGCCCCCTGGATCCTGTCATGGCTGGACTGTGGCAAATAGTTAAAATATAGAGTGTACTAGAAGTAATAATTTAAGGAAAAATAATTTAGAAAAAGGATATAAAATTCAAGGGGCTAGAGATAAACTTTCAGGAAGGGTGGCCAAAGAAGGACTCACTGAAAAGATGCCTTGTGAGTAGATATCTGAGGGAATCAAGAAGGTAAGCCATATAAGAATTTAGGTTTTATAAATATACAGTAGCAATATTAAAGAGATCAAAGGCTATGAGAAAAAGGTGTACTATGAGTATTTAAAAAACAAAAGAAGGCCAGTGTGACTGAAGCAAAATTAGCAGGTAAAAAAGCTACAGGAATTGGGGTCAGAAAGATAAAGGGGACATAAACTATGCAGGGCCTATTAGTCATAATAAAGAGATTGATGTTTAATCAGATTAAAATGGGAAGCTACTAAAATTTTATAATGGAAGAATGACCAGATCTGACTGACAATTTAATTCAGTCATTTGAACTGAATGGGAGCAAGGACAGAAAACAGAGGAACCAATAAGGAAGTTGCTGACAAAAGCCAGGTGAGTAATGATTATCACTTGAAATAAAAGATGGCAGTGTAAATGGCAAGATAAATAGTAAGATTCTGAATCTCTGTGACAGACTAAGACTATATATTCATTTATTCACTCAATATTTTTTGGATCTTTATGATGTTTCATGCACTATTCTAGGTACTAGTGATACACCAGTAAATAAAGCAGACAAAGTCCGTGTCTTAAATAAATTTTTGTCTGAATGGGAGACAAATAATAAACAAGTAACCAAATCACTAATATAATTTCTGGTATTGGAATGTGCTATAAAACAATAAAACTGACTGAGGAGAGAGAGAGAGAGTAGTAAGGAAGGGAAGAGAAAGCCTTTTCAAGTAGGCTGGTTATTCAAGCACTCTCCTTATCACCTATACTTCTATAAATATCATATTAGATTTTCACAGTTATAACTGGGGTTCAGCAAACACAACATGTAAAACACAAAAACTAGATTTGTAACTTGAACCAAAGATATTAGCAGAGGATTTATACAGATCTCGAGGGAACCGTGAAACACTCCATTTACATAAAATTGATTGAGATCGAAGAAATACTTTGTAGCACTCTATGTCAAGGACCATGTTAGATACTATGGCAAAATGGCAAAATGGAGGCATGAGCAACCTAGGAATGGCAGACAAACACAAGAATAGGCGATATTTTAGCTAAGACTGTCAGAGATACCTACCCCCTTGGTGGAGATTAATAACTCAAGCTGACTGATGATCAGCCATCTCTATGAATCAGATTGGTCCTGGAAAATGGAGAACAAGCAAGAGAAGGAGAAAGATGGCCTCCTCCTCTTCTTATTTGGAAAAAAAAATGATCCGGGAAGGCATCTGTTGGAAGAGGTGGGAGAATTTTCATACAACCATTTTCAGAATGATGGGGAATTTGATATTTTTCATGGGAGGGGTGATTTTTAGCTTTACCTGTTCCCATTATACGTGTTACATTTGTATTTCACATCTTTTGAAAAGGACAAAGAGAATGATCCAGTGTATCTTAATATTTTCACCTTTCTTACAGCATCTCTACATCTTTATTCTTATTCTTTCAGGTAAAATTAAGCAAGTGAGGAGAATGGCCATGGATAATGCTACAGCAATGTCTAGGTTTCTTCTTATTGGAATTTCCAACTATCTGGAGTGGAGAGTAACCAATTCTTCATGTTGGTGCTGATAACTTCTCTGAGCACATTGTTGGAGAATGGACTTATTATCATTCTTATCCACATAGACCCCCACCTCTACACTCCAATGTACTTCTTTCTTAATAACCTGTCTTTCTTAGAGCTTTGCTATGGAACAGTCTCCATGCTCCAGGCCTTGGTACATTGTTTCTCTGCACATTATTACCTCTCTTACCCACAATGTTTGACCCAAATGAGTGTCTCCTTGGTCTTGGCCACAACAGAGTGCTTCCTACTGACTGTAATAGCCTATGACCGTGTGGTTGCTATCAGCAACCCCGTATGCTATTCTGTGATCATGACTGGCCCAGTGTGTGTCTAGCTGGGTGCTACCTCATGGAGAGCATCACTTGTGCTCACTGTCATGCTCATCTTATCTCTACATCTTTGGTTCTGTGGGGCTAATGTTATCAATCATTTTGTCTGTCAGATTCTTGATCTCCTCAAGTAGGCCTTCTCTGACACCAGCCTCAATGAGCTTATAATCCTTATCACAGGTATCTTCACCCTGCTCTTACCGTTTGGTTTTGTTCTTCTCTCCTATGTCAAAATTGTTGCTGCTGTCCTAAAGATTCACTCAGTCCAGGGAAGGCAAAAAGCTTTTTCTACCTGTAGTTCTCATTTGACTGTGGTGACAATCTTCTATTGGGCAGCCATTTACATGTATATAAAACCTCAATCAAAGACATCCCCTGACAAAAACGAGTTTATCTCAGTGTTTTATAGGGCTTTGACTCCCTAATATATAGCCTGAAGAATAAGGATGTTAATGAGACAATGAAGAAAGTTATGGTGAAAAGGGCAAAAAATCTTCTTTGCTTGTAAACTAAAATAACACTCAGCTACATCTCCACTGATAGTGAAAAATGTTAAAATGAGGAGTGACGTCAGAAACATGGCGGAGTGAGAGATGTCCCCAGATCTCTCCCCTTAAAACAACAATAAGCTGAACATCTAAAACTCAACAAAAAAACTACCAAACTGCACGCTAGCATGTCGGAGTGTGAGGTCTGCACATAAGAGCTACCACAGGTCAGAATCTTGGGATTCAGGCAGTAGATTGGGAGAAATCTACTGAAAAAGCTGTCTCTCATAGCTGAAACAACGTGTAGCAGGAGGCAGGAGTGAAGAAGCTGCTGCAAGTTCCCTGAACAGCCCTGCCTGGGAGAGCCGTGAGCTCCACATGGCCGGCAGCAGTGTCCAGGCATTAGGGCAGAAAATAGAGAAGAGGAGATGACAGAGAAGCAGGGATGACTGAGAAAAAACAGTTGAGTATTACTAGCAAATCACGAGGCTGAGCCAGAGTCCCCATCCCCCAACCCAGAGGGCACTTTGCCCCATATCCTGTGAGATCAAACACTGCGAAGCCCCAGGGTAATCTGAACAAATGCTACCAAAACTGTCACTAACACTGACAGGGACTAAGACTGAGGGTAGCGAGTGTGAATGGATATCTATAAGAAAGAAAAAGGAATTATTAAGACTTTATATTAAGCAGGGATCCAAAAGGCTTAGATGCCACCTGCTGGAAACCAAAAGAAAACTACTTCTTTGCAACAGGCTAAAGAGAGACCTTTATATAATAAATCTTCCTTCTTGAAACAAACAAACAAACAAACAAACAAACAAAAAAAACAAAACAAACAGAAAAAAAAAAGGACTACAGTTCCATTAATGCCCAGGTGGAGAAATAGTCCATTAAACACCATGAACAACCAAGGTGACAAGGCAGCACAGAAAGAACATAAAAAATCTCCAGAAAATCGGCTTACAGACATAGAAATATGTGACTAAAATTACAGAGAATTCAGGATGGTACTTCTGAAAAATTTCAATGGGATCTAAAACAAATCATATCAACAATTTCAGGAATAATAATAAAAAAACAAAAAACAAAAAACAAACAAACAAACAACTCTAAAAGGACCAAATAGAACTTCTGGAGATGAAAGAAACACTGCAAGAAATGAAAAATGAAATAGCAAGTTTGGGAAATAGAGTTGACCAAATGAAGGACAGGATCAATGATATCGAAGACAGAAATCTAGAAATAAATCAAAGGAAGAAGAGAGAAACCGAAGAATGAAAAATAATGAAATAGAAATACAGGAACTAGCTGATACCATCAGGAGAGGAAACATAAGAACAATGGGCATTTTCGAAAAGGAGGAAGAGGAGTAGGGATCAGAAAGCATTTTCAGACAAATAGTTGATGAGAATTTCCCAAATCTAAAGAATGAGGTGGAGTTTTGAATTCAAGAAGTCAATAGAACACACAATTATATCAACCTAAAAAGAACTTATTCAAGACAATTTGTATTAAAATTATCAAAAATTAATGACAAAGAAAGAATGCTCAGGGCATCCAGGGAAAAGAAGACAGTAACCTAAAAGGAAAACCCATTAGATTATCATCAGATTTCTCAGCACAAACCTTACAATCCAGAAAGGAGTGGAATCAAATATTCAAACTATGAAATAAAAGGAACTACCAGCTTAAAATAATGTGTCCAGCAAAGCTCTCCTTTAGATATGAAGGAGAAATAAAGGCCTTTCCAGGCATACAGAAATTGAAGGAATTATCCATTACAAAGCCTGCATTATAGGAAATAATGAAAGGGGTCAGTATCACCTAAAACAAAATGCAAAAAAAAAAAAAAATAATAACTAAAAGTAAGGCAACTAGCAAGCAGATACAAGTAGAGGAGTGTGACTCTTAATAAGAACGGGTCATACTAAGCTTCATCAATAAGAAGAGATTTGCTATAGCAAGATAGTAGTGAAAGTTCAGCATACATAGGGACAAATTGAGACAATAATGAAAAAGTGAGCATTCAAAGATCCAAATTCACAAATGGAAATGGAGATTAGGCACACACAGAAGAAACAGATGATTGTATATATAACTATCCTTTACATATTTGTAATGGTAACCACACATCAAAGATTCAAAACTGAAGTATATAACATAAAACAAGAAGGACCAGAAGGAAAACCCACAAAACCCAATGGAAAAAAAAAAGGCACTCAAGGACACGAAAGCAATGGAAACACCACACTACCAGAAAACAAAAGATAAAATGACTGTAAGAAGACCTCATACTTCAATAATCACCCTTAATGTAAATGGACTGAACTCACCAATAAAAAGGCACAGAGTTGCAGATTGGATCAAAAAGCAAAACAACCATATGCTGTCTCCAGGAGACACATCTCAGTTCCAAAGACAAATATAGACTCAAAGTGAAAGGGTGAAAAATAATATTTAAAGCAAATGACATTCAGAAAAATAGCGAGAGTCACGGTACTAATATTGGATGAAATAGACTTCAAAATAATAAAGATGAAAAAAGCTATTGAGAGACAGTTTATAATAATAAAGGAAGTCATAATCCAAGAAGAATTACACTTATTAATATCTATGCACCCAATCAGGGAACCCCAAAATTTATAAAGTAATTACTACCAGAACTAAAGAGAGAAACAGACCAAAACACTATCGTAGTAGGGAACCTAAATATTTCCACTGTTGGATATGGACAGATCATCCAAACAGAAAATGAACAAGGAAATGACATCCTTAAATGACACATTAGACCAATTGGACATAAGTGACATTTCCAGAGCCTTTTATCCCAAAACAGATACTTAGACATTCTTCTCTAGTGCATATGGAATATTCTCAAGGACTGACCACATACTGGAACACAGAGATAGACCCAAAATATAAGAGGATTGAAATCCTACCAACCATTTCCTCTGATCATTATGCTTTGAAACTAGAGATCAACTGTAAAAAGAACGCCAGAAGAATCAGAAACACAAGGAGATTAAACAACATCTACTGAAGAATAACTGGGTCAGAGAAAGAATAAAAGAGATCAAGAGATACATAGAAACGAATAATAACGATAGTACAGCATAACAAAACTTTTGGGACATGGAAAAAGCAGTCATAAGAGGAAAGTTCATATTATTACAGGCCTATTGCAAAAAACAAAAACCAGCTCAAATAAACAACCTAATGCTTCATATTAAAACGAACAAACAAACAAACAAACAACAACAACAAAAAAACAAACTAGAAAAGGAAGAACAATTGAAGCCTAAAGTCAGCAGAAGGAAAAGAATAATCAAAATAAGAGCAGAAATAAATGAAATTAAAAAAATAAATAAATGCAACAAAGAGCTGGTTCTTTGAGAAAGTTAATAAAATTGTCAAACCCCTGGCTAAACTTACTAAAGAAAAAAGAGAAACGACACCAAAAAACAAAATCAGGGATGAAAGAGGGGAAATTACAACAGACACCACAGAAATACAAACGATCATACAAAAACGGTATAAAAAAGTATATAACACCAAATTAAATAACCTAGAAGAAATGGACCATACTAAGAAAAATACAACCTGCCTGGACTGAATTAAGAACTAGAAAATCTAAATAGACTGAGCAGCAGTATGGAAATTGAAACAATCATAAAAAACCTAACAAAAGTAAAAGTCCATGACCAGAAGGCTTCACCAGTGAATTCTATCAAACATTCAAAATAGATTTAATACCTATTCTCCTCGAATTCTTCCAGAAAATCCAAGAGGAGGCAATATTTTCCAATTCATTGTATGTGGCCAATATTACCCTGATATCAAAACCTGGTAAAGATAACACATACACAAAAAAACTACAGACTAATATTTCTCACGAACACAGATGCAAAAATCGTAGATAAGATACTAGTGAACCAAATACAGCAACATATTAAAAGGAGTATACACCACGATCGAATGGGTCTCATCCCAGGAAAACAAGGATGGTTCAACGTATGCAAATTGATTAAGTCATACACCACATAAACAAACTAAAAAATAAGAATCATGTGATTATATCAATAGATGCAGGAAAAGCCTTCGACAATATATAGCATCCATTTATGATGTAAACACTTAACAAAATCGGTATAGAAGGAAAGTACCTTAACATAATAAAGACCATCTATGACAAACCCTCAACCAACATTATACTTAATGGTGAAAATTAAAAACCTTCCCTCTAAGATCAGGAACAAGGCAAGGCTGTCCACTATCGCCACTATTATTCAATATAACATTGGAGGTCCTAGCAAGGGCAACCAGAAGAGAGAAAGATATAAAAGGCATTCAAACAAAAAACAAAGGACTGAAACACTCACTATATGTGGATGACATGATTCTCTATATGGAAAACCCTAAAGACTCCACAAGAACACTATTAGAAACTATAAGTGAATACAGTAAAGTTTCTGTATACAAAATCAGCATTTAAAAATCCATAGCATTCCTATACTCTAATAATGAAGTATAAGAAAAAGAAGTGGAAAAAAATAATTACTTTTTCAAATTCAACAAAAAGAATCAAATACCTAGAAATAAATTTAACAAAACATGTGAGGAACCTATATAATGAAAACTACAAGACCCTAATAAAAGAAATTGAAGAAGATACAAAGAAATGGAAAGATATTCTGTGTTCTTGGATTGGAAGAATCAACATAGTTAAAATGCCCCATCAAAATCCCATCGGCATTTTTAAAGAAACAGAACAAAAAATTATCAGATTTCTATGGAAGCGCAAAAAAACCCAAATTGCCAAAGCCATCCTGAGCAAAAAGAATGAGGGTGGAGGTGTCACTCTGCCTGACTTCAAATTATACTACAAAGCGACTACAATCAAAACAGCATGGTATTGGCAGAAAAACAGACACAGAGACTGGTCTAGGAGAATTGGGAGTCCAGAAGTAAACCTATATTTATATGGGAAATAATTTCTGACAAAAAAGGCAAAAACATA